CACGCAATTGTTGCCCCATCGGCTGTCAGATTATACTTTACTCCTCTCAAACCCACCATGCATCTGGAGCACCCCCTTTTGCCCACGACCTCCACCTTCCCTGACCTAGTCTCCAATTTTGATTTCCTCATCACTTCCACCCTTTTATGCAACGCCCACTGTACACCTGTCCATCTTGATCACTGTAAAGCTACAACAGCATCGATGAGAATAAAGTTCAATGCCAGAGGCATGAACAGGGCAGGCTGCAGAGGTGACTACTCTCACAGTCCCCATCTGAGGAAGGTCGAGGTCACATAAGCAGAGTGCCTTCCAGGCTTGGACTTGCGAGTCCCTCAGGCGCAGACGTCACTCCTCAGCTTGCAGTTCTCTTGAGCTCATCCCTGAGCGGTCCTGCGCAGCACCAGGGCACCACACCAGAGAGCTTAGAACATGCCGAAGTGGTATTAGGGGTTCATCGACTGCCTCGTACAGGGGCAAGCTAGCTTTCGTTCACTAAGCCCCAGGGAGACTGCAACACACCCCTTGCATCTCGGAGAGCCCCACACCTGTTGCAGGGGCGGAGTGGGCTTGCTGGTGGCGTCATTGCGCAATCTGTCCCTCAGTGCGCACAGCATGCGCCAGACCACCTCCTCCAGCGAGGCTCCTGAGCTGGAGCAGGGGCTGTCGAGGGGAATCACGATGTCTGCCTGCTCATACAGGGCCTGTCTTGCCTTCATGAGGCCGTCCAGCTTGGCAACCGCGGCCTGCAGAGCGTCACCCTGCTCATCAGCACCCTGTGTTCGGGAAGCCACGCCAGATGGATCAGGAGGAGGGCACTGAGTGTGGATGCGGCCGTTGGCAAAGTATTGCATCAGACATCACAGGGGAGATATGCTGACATACAAATGGCTCCCAATGTGCATGTTCTTAGCCACAGAAATCCTGCATAGAAACACACGGCCAGCTCTGCTCCACCTCCCCCAAAACTCTCACATCCCTACCATGCCCACCTGTTCCCCTGCCAGCAGCGGCCTGGACTGAGTCCCGTCTCCAACCACTCGCTGTGCAAGAAGCTCTGGTGTGCCCCTCAGCCACACCACCACCCCGGTCTGCATGTCAGCCCAGTTCTGGGCCCGCAGAACCGCCCCACCGCCAGTTGATACCACACAGTTTCGGTAGGGGGCCAGTTCCTACAGGACCAAAGTGATGATTGCGAGGTGCCCATGGGACATGGCAAGGGTGATTGCTCTCAGCCGCTCGAATCATCTGTGCTTGAATTGCACCGACGCACATAGGGACGTGTGGGCGGGCGGGAGCTCACCTACGCCCCAAGGCCTATCTCCACCACCTAAGCACCTCCGCAACCCCTGGCAATGCTGCCTCCTCACCTGTATCACGGCCGTTTCGGTGGTGCGAAATGCCTCCTCCCCTTCCTCCCTGAAGATGTCGGCGATGCTCTTGCCAGACAGGGCCACAATCATGTCGTCGGTGTCGAAAAAGCAGTAGCTCAGGGCAGTGCTCAGTTTCTGGCCCGCAGCAGACTTCCCACTGTCATGGGCGAGATTCAGGCAGTGCTTGGCGATGCTGGGCGTTTGATATGGAGGGGCCCTGGGCATGCGCAGCAGGGCAAACCCGGGATAGTCTGACACCATGGCGTCGTGGGAGATCCAGATGCAACACCAGGCGCAGCGCACCTTCCCATCATGCCAACGAGGTAGACGCTGCTGCCCTTGAGGAGACCGGCGACTTGAGCGCCAAGATTCTTCCGGGAAAATGGTTGGGGGAGGGAGGGAGCTGGGGTGTGTGTGTCCATGGGAGGTTCCCTAAGAAGTGCAACAATCAAGTGACGACAAATAACTTCAAAAAGTCAGGATCCCACTAGTCCTCACATTCAAGTCTTGATACGTCGGACTGTCGGCGAAATCTTGCTGGGCATGGCTTTGGACGATTTGCAGGCCGGTGCTGCGAGGATGCGAGCTCCAACTCCTGGTCCTCATCGAGAGCATATCACGCGCAAGCGCGTGATGCCCATGCATGCCATCGGTATGCAGTGCAAGGCGAGCCGACCTATTCTTGCGATAGACGTTGTCGCCCTTGAAGCGGTGCTCCAGGCGTCTTGAGGTGGGCCCAGTGCCTGTAAACGCCCTCATGCCCTCAAGCCTGTTTCGAGTGGACGCAGATGAGTCCGGTGCTCGGTAATCCAAAATGACACGCGTCTCATTGGTGATACTACGCACAGTCACGGGTATATCCCACCAGAGTTGGTCGGTGGGCATGTCGCGCCCTGCCAAACATGCTGACGTTGCCGACACCGACACCCCGCGCTCCGCATCGGTGCAAGCCTGATCATGTTGGCAACGTACTGGCATATTCATCTGACACCCAGTATATGTCAGATTTCGTGAATGATGGATTCTCGCCAGCTCGACCTTCTCCTGGCAGGCCTGGCCGGGGCGCTGGTCACCTATGGTGGGACGCGGCTTTTGCGCAGGGTTGCAGGCGAGGGAGTCCCAACTCCTCCAGCGAGAGACGCCAAGGACATGAATGGAAGCATCGCTGCGCTGCGCTCCACCACTCCACACCCTCATTGGACACCCCCAAACCCTTTGCCCGCCCCCTTTAGCGACAAGTACCATGATGTGGACCCTGCAACCACTCCGTCAGCAGTGCTCTACCCCCTCGTCATCTCGGCCATTGTCCCCAGGCCCATCGCCTTCATCTCCACACTGAATGCGGCAGGCAGCGTGGGTAATCTTGCGCCATACTCTTACTTCAATGCGGTGGCACATGACCCACCTACCTTGGCGATTGGCTTCTGCGCGAGTTCCATTCGAGACCACCGACGCAAAGATAGCTTGGTCAACATTGTCGAAACTGGGTGAGTAACTTCGTCAAGATCTTGTACAATTTGGTCAGGGGTGTTGGAGGGAAGGGGGCCCGCATGGTTTACGAGCTAGGCCGTCTGGAGGGCCAACTTGGACAGCTGTTCCTTTATGCGAACACTCCCATGGCTGTGAGTTGCTTGCAGTGCCAGCGAGGATTGCAATCCAGCTATGAGACACAGACCTTCATGTCAAGGCTGACAGCCTCACAACTCACATGCACAGGGAGCTGGTTGTGAACATCATCAGCGAATGGTTTGTGGAGGCTGCCAATCACTGCTGCGGAAACTTTGATTACGGGCAGAATGAGTTCGAGTTGTCAGGCCTCACACCCATGCCGTCCGTCAAGGTAAGGAGGGAAGCATGTAATACATTCCAATGGATTCAGGATTGACCTTGGAGCATCTCCTGTCCCTGGTCAAGATGCTGTAGCCTGCATGCTTCGGCTCGGTACCTATATCTATGGATGTCAGGGAGTGAATATTGAGATCGTTCATGTTCCCAGCCTGGGCGTGCGTGCATTCCTGCAATCACATGGCTTCTTCACTCTCAACTCAATCTCGGCCCAGGTCAAAGCCCCTCGGGTCCGGGAGTCGGCGGTGCAGATGGAGTGTAAGGTGGTGCACAGCTATGAAGTGAGGAATGCGGCTGGCGCTGTGTCCACCACCGTCATACTGGCCCAGGTGGTCTTGATGCACGTGGCCGATGGCGTCGCAGGTAATTTAGGGTCTGCCAGGGGTGGGTGCATTGTCGAGTGGAGAGGAAAACGGGAGACAGCTCCTGCATGGTAAGTGAAAGGTGTCCTTTGCTATGCATGTGTATCTGACCTTCAAGTGTGGAAGGGGACCATTCAAGGCATGCAGACGCTCTTTCTTCGTCGTGCTAGCCAACTCACTACCCTGCACTCAGGCCACCCTTCTCCCAACCCACTCTCACACATGTCCTCAGGTGCATCGCCATCAGGGAAGCTGGTTGTGGACCTGGCAAAGTATGCACCCATCTCTCGTCTGGGGGGCAACACGTATGGCAGGGTGAAGGAGACGTTTGATCTGCCCCGCCCAGACAGGACCCCCGCCCAGAAACACATCCAATACACCAGTCAGCCAGAGTGACGCGGCGTGGCTCGGCGGACTTGTTGGGGAGAGAGACTCCTCCCCTCCTAGCTGCCCCCTGATCGGCTCGACTGATGTGGATTCCCATCTTCTGCTATTGTACTGAGAACTGAGGAGCTGTGCCAGGCACCCCCACCTGCCTCTTCAGGTACCATTCTCGTGCCAACTCCCTTCCTCATGCCCTTGTGTTGTACATTCAAGTAGCAGAGCCAGAAGATGGTTTTTGGCTGTGCTTGAGAATGGTCTGGCCCGCCGAGTATACAAAATCGCTTGTGGTGATTCCCTGACCGCACATGACAAATGCCGGTGCATCTGAACCAAGCTTAATCGTGCAGGGCGTTCATCCTTGCGACCCGAGACAACCACAGGCCTTGAACACCGGCAAATCACTGCTTGAGCCTCCTGCGCCCGCCTGTGCGCCTCAAGCTGGCCAGGCACCCGGGTGCCTGAACTTTGCCGCAAGCAGCAGCGTGTCCAGCGCCGGCGGCCGCGGCGTGGAGTGGGCCGAGCACAGGCGGTGCAGGGCCGCAACTAGGGCAGGGTTCCCTTCCTGCGCCGCCCTTTCCAGAAACGCTGCGGGGCGCGGCGTCGCCACGCGGTGCCTGCGAGCCAGGTGCAGCGCGGCCTCCACCTCCCCGCCGCGCAGGAGCAGCGCCACCGCAGCCGCGTGGTCCCCGACCAGCGAGAAGACGTGCAGCGGGGGGCCAATGTCGCTCTGCGGCCCCTGTGTCAGCAGCAGCGTGTTTGCCAGGGCGGAGCTGGCCAGGGGCGGGTGTGCGTCCAGCAGCCGCCGCAGACGGTGCACCTCCCCCTGGGGGAGGACAGAAGCGCATGGGAGTGGGTGGCATGGTATTGAGTGCTAGGTGGTTGGAGTTTGTGCACCTGCTCCTTCAAAAGGGAAGTCTCGGGTGGGCTGCCACCAGCGCTGCCTCCAGTAGCGAGGACTGTCGGCGTGCAGCCGGCCCGGGCCCGAAGCCACAGCGTCAGGGAGCAGGTCCCGAGACACACACACGCGCCCCGCCTTCGGCGCACCGTGACTGTGAGCAGGTCGAGGACCAGCAGGCCCAGGCCGAGGTCGATCTCCGCCCCTGCCGCCTGGCAGGCAGACACAAACTCCAGGGTGCAGGCAAGGAGGCGCTGGGGAGGGGCGGTGGCGAGCAGGGGACGCAGCACCTCGCTGCAAACATCCTGCGGCAGAGGCAGTGGGCAAAGAGGCAGCCATTCAGCGGTTTGATGTCAAGTATCATCGCTGGGCGGGACAGGATCCGGAGTGGCAGGTCGCGGAGAGAGGGTCCTGCTACCCACCTCTGGCACCTGGCGCCCATGCACTCCTGCTGGAGCCTCATCCCGCCCACCACCACGCGATGCCACTCCACCCTCTCACTACTCGCCCTGGAGGAGACGTGTGGCCCCGGGAGCGTGGGCCCGACCAGGCGCCCCCCCGCGATCCCGGTGGGCCCGGGGACGTGCCGCCGCAGCGCCGCATCGAACCCCCGGCGCACCTGGAGCAGGGGCTCGCCGTCCCTCACCGCATCCTGTGCGAGGGGGGGGGGAGTGATGGCGAGGGTCAAGGGGCGGCCCGGCTGCGCCGCACTGTCGGGGCGTTGGCCTGGGCAGTCACGCATTCGGACCTCACGGCGGCAGGACCCGAGGACGCCGTCATCCCCGCGCGCCCCGTCCCACCCGCATGATGGCGAGCGTGATGCGCCGCGCGTCGCGCGCGCCGGCCCCGCCGCTGTGCCTGCGCTGGAGGAAGGCGAGGAGCGCGGGCAGGTCCCAGGCCGAGCCCATGGCCGCCATGGCCGCCAGGTCCAGCGTCAGGCGGTACACTGCCCCACGCTCCACGTCCAGCGCCCAGTCGGGGAGGTAGAGTTGCAGCGCGCTCAGCGCGGGGCCGGGCGCACCGCCCCGGGGGGGTGATTGCCCCGGGGTGCCTGGCTCCGACCCATCCCAGGAGGCAGCGGGGGAGGGGGTGCCATCGTGCTCGTGCGGGACGGCCAGGCCCTCAGCGGAGTCCGGCGCGTACCCCTCGCCGCACTCCTGCGCCGCATCCGCCAGGGCCGTCCCGCCCTGCACGCCGCCAGAGTGCGTGCCCGGCACCAGCGCCCTCCCGTCCAGGCCGCGGTCGGCGGCTTGGGGCCCATCCTCCTGGCGCGGGGCGCCGCCGTCGCCGTCGTCCACGCCGCCACCCCCTCCGGCGCCGCCATCACCACCCGCCACCCCGCCGCCGGGCGCGAGGCGGGCCCCGCCGATGGGCAGCGGCGCGCACAGCGGCTCCGCCCCCGGTGCCGCCACGTCGTAGAGCAGGGTCACGTGGGCGGCGAGGAGGTGGACGGCCAGCAGGTTGTCCACCACGCTGAGCGCGACCGGGCCCCCCCCCGCCCGGCAGGCGGTACTCGGCCGCCAGGGAGCTGGCGTCGCGGTACATGCGGAACAGGCGCAGGCTGCGCTGCGGGGGCTCGTGGTGCGCGCAGTGCACCTGGCCGTACAGCGTGACCAGCCAGACATGGGCGGCGCAGGCGCCGGCGCGCGGCATGGGGTCCTCCCCCGACCCGCGCACAGGGGAGGAGACCCAGGGCGGGCCCAGGTCCAGCATGGGCAGGCGGGCGGGGCCGGCGGGCAGGAACTGGAGGGGCTGCAGGCGCGCGCCGCCCGGGCCGAAGCCCAGCAGCGCAATGCGTGACTCGGGGTCGAAGCGGTACCAGCGGGTGTCGGGGGCGGCCAGGTGGGACAGCAGGCGCAGGCCCTGGCGTGCGGGCTGCAGGAAGAGGGAGGGGAAAGAAAGGCGATGGGATAGGGAGGGGGGCATGGTGGTCGGATAGCATTCCAAAGGAGGGACGCAGCACATGCAGGCGTGAGGCGCCGCATCGCAGGCAGGGTCCCCTCGCGCCTTATACGCGGACACTGCCTGCGTGCGGTAGAGTCGTGGGGCCCGGCGGTGCCTTCCGACACGCCAATTTCAAGCGATCCAGGTCGCACACCCTGGCTTGCACCGCTCTAGCACAACCCCTTCCCTCGTGCTGGCCCCACTCAAAAGCCAGCCCAAGTCCCCACCACTGCGGTCCATCCCATGTGCTTGCCTGGAGGCCGTAGATCTCCAGCCCCGGGGGGGTGACCATCACCAGCTGGGGGGAGTGGTCCGTGGTCTCCACCCAGAAGAAGCCCAGCAGGTCCACATCCCGCCGCCTGCAAGCAGGAGGGGACTGGGGTAAAGAAGGAGTTCTGGCGACCAAACTCAAACCCTTTGAACGCGGTTTAGGCCCATGCGAAGAATAAGGCCCCAGCAAATCCTCGGCCCTCATTTATGACCCCAGTCCCTGCAGCCAGCCAGCCACCCACCCTTTCCTCCCCCCACCCCCCACCCCCCACCCCACAGCCCGCTCACCCCTGCTGCTGCCCACGGCTGCTGGCCCCCGGCGCCTCCACAAACATGTTACCCGTGGTGTGGTCGATGATCTCCAGCTGGCGCCCGCCGCGCCTCAGTGCGCTCAGCGTCCCGTCCAGCGAGGCCAGCATGCCGCGCACGGGGGGGCCCGCCGACACCAGACCCGTGCGCAGCGTGGCGCTGCTGGCCAGGCTGTCCTCGCGCGACAGCGCGCGCGTGTGTGCGGCGGGCGGGCCCCTCGCGCCAGTCCGGGGGCTCTGGGACGGCGGGGGGGAGCCCCCAGGCGGGGACCAGGCCCGACCGCCCGGCCGGTCAGGGGAGGTGGAGGTCGACACGGGGCTGGCCGTGGCCGGGGCGCCGGAGACGTCGGGGTGCGCCCCGGGGAGCCGGATGGAGGCCACCAGCCGCCCCTCCACGGTGTGCAGGCAGCCAGCCCCCGCATCCAGGAGCACCTGCTGGCCGTCAGCTGGCACCCAGCTGACGCCCTGGTCCTCCAGCACCACGTGCATGTTTAAGGGCCCGGGTGGGGGGACGCTCCGTGAACCCAGGGGCGTGTTGCGGCCACGAGGTGCACCAGCTGCACGCTGGACCTCCCCGTGCAGATGGACCGAGGAGAAGCGGTTTGTCGCTGGGGCTAGGAGTCGTCGGTGGGGCAGATGCTGGCACGCACGACCTTCAGCACCGTGGCCTTGACGTGATCGGGGACCGCGGCGCGGGCTGCAGGGCGCACGGCCTCCGCGAGGCTCCCAAGCGGAAAGGAGGGGTCGGTGCGCAGGTGGGCTGCCGGGATTGGGGTGGGGGAGGGGAGGAGGCGGTGTCCCGAGAGGCAGGTGATCCATGGCACCTCGTGTCTTGAAACTGACATGGCAGCGCTGGTCACCATGCCCGATGGGTCTGTGAACCACCTTCCGCTCACCGCGACAAAGCTCCTGGACGACGTCGACCCAGCCGCTCTCCTCCAGGCAGCCCCGGGCCACGAACTTCAACCGGTCCCTCTCACAACCCTGCTCACCCTGGAGGTGATGGGTTTGAGAGTGGGGTCCTGAACCAAGATTGATCCCTCATGCCCCACGTGATTTCTCATTCCAGTGGGGTACTGCGTGCATTTACCATCCGCAGGCCCCGCACCTTTTGCTTGCTGGGGTTCTCTTGAATCGGGGTGCTCATACCCTGACCTCAAGGACACTGCAGGTTGGCAGAGCGTTGTCCAGCCTTTCACGCCTTCCGATCTCCATCGAGTGCATACTGCTATGTTTCGGGATCGAGCCCTGCCTTGTCGTTGCGATCCGTGGCGTGATGCCTGGGCGCCCTCTCGTAGGACGAACTTCGCGCGCGCATGCTTTACCATCGCCGGGGGGGAAGGGTGCTGCATCTCGCCTCTGCGATGCTTGCAACCACTGCCCGTCCTGACGGCCGCTAAGCTCATGACGGTTGAATCTCGCGATACATTTCGTCTGCTCCAGTTGAGAGGGTGCCCGAATTTCCAAGCCGATACACTCGGCAAGGGGTGGCCTTGGTCTATTCTCCGCTCTCTTCCAGGCGTTCTGTTTTGCAAAGCTCATCCTTAAACCTGAGTTAGTCGTCCTCTTCCGCCCAGCATACTGTGTACCATGGAGGACGACTCTCAGGGCAAGCACAAAGCGTCGGACGTCCGGTCCCGCTCTGCCCTGCTGACGGTGGCGCTCTTCGCAGGCATTTGCCTCGGATTCATGGGTGCTGAGCGCGTGTATCTGTACAACCATGGTGGTGCGGTGGCAACGGGCGGTTTGATGCGCTCAAGAGTGGCTCGCAGCCTGGGCTCCAAGCCAGCCAATGAGCTGGAGAGGGTGCTGCGCGAGGTGGCTCCCACTGGAGAGGTCATGATCGCCATCTCCAACATGAACCTGATTCACAGCGAGTCTCTGACGCTTTGGATCCAGGTGAGTGGAGCAGGCTGCTGAGATTGCAGTGAGGTTGACGGCGTCTGGCCGGCTGGCTCCTTGCAACCCGTGCACCCGACAAGACACCAACATTCGGCTCCCTCTTCACATCCTCATCCACCACTCACAGAGCCTACAACGCCTCCCATTCAAGAACTGGATGGTGGTGGCAATAGATGAGCAGCTCCGGGATTATTGCAAGGAGAAGGGGATCAATCATTACTACCGACCTGTGGTGGTGAGCGCGAGGGGCACTTGCTCGGATTGTATCCCCTGGGTTGTGGGATCGCTCTGGAGACGGAATTTTGTCACACTGCAGCTTATTCGGGTAGTTACCAGATGCCTGAGGTGCATGATACCACAATATGCACCTTGATATCAGGACAGCACAGAAACCCCAGTCATGCCTCTTTTGCTTGGCAGATTCCGGGGACGCAGGCCAATACCGGGGACAACCATGCCATCTCTGCGATGAAGTTCGAGATTCTTGAGGAGTTTTTGCAGCTGGGATGGGATGTACTGCTCAGGTACTGTTCTGGCCGCAAAGTGCAAGTGGGTTGAGTTCGGTAAACTAGTGCCTGTCGGGCTGGCAGGGAGAATAATAAGAGGATGTGCTGGTAGCGTTATTTGAGGTCCATTGCGATCGCCCACCACTTGAATAGACATAGTGTCTGAGGAGACTCCTTATGCTGTCCGTGCATGGACTGGCTGTTTGCTTTATTGTCCGCCTGCGATGGCATACTCGAGCTATATCGCAGGGTTGGTGTGCGCTCCCAAACATGAGCTGGCTCCTGTACCCCCAACCTGCGCTTCATTCCTTCTTGACACAGCGATGTGGACATCATCACGGTCCAGAACCCCTTTGACTTCTTGGTCCGCGACTCGGATGTGGAGGGCATGAGTGACGGCTACGATGCGAGCACCGCCTACGGCGAGATCTATGGGGTGAGAAGGGTAACCGGGAGGGGGGTGAGTCTTCACATGTCACTGCCCCTGGCCCTGCGCCAGATTTCCTATCATTCAGCTGGTGAGCTGAGGATGCATATCAAGGAACAAAGGTAATGGGCTTCCACCCTTTCCGCACAGGTGGATGATGCTTCTATGGGCTGGTCACGGTATGCGCAGGGCCACAAGCACATGGCTCTTAATTCTGGGTGAGCAGGGCAAGGCACAAGGCTTGTCAGGTGGTTGTGGTGTGCATGCTGTCTCAGTCCACTACAAGTGGCTCCCAAAAATCACCACATGACATCGAATTTCCATGCATTGCCCCTGCCTGCTTGCCGGCAGTGCACACATTATACATTGTTTGTGCACAAGGTGTCTTTCTCCAGAGCTTTATTTGGCCTCGCGGTAGTCCTGCCCTGGCATCAACAGCCACAGTACAGCTGAAGCGCTCCAGCCCACACACCCATCTCCTATTACTCAACCACCTCCCCGCTCCCAAACCATCCCTCCCCAGCCTGTTCTGGTTGAAGGCCAACGCCCGCACCATCCGCCTGATGCAGCGCATTGCCAAGCGCGTCAACACCGAGCGGCAGTGGGACCAGAGCGTGTACAACCAAGAGATCTTCAATCTGGCGCACGGCGAGTACACCTCCCCCCAAGTGAGCGTGAGGGTGATGGACATCTACCTCTTCATCAACTCCAAGACGCTGTTCAAGTATGTGCGGAAGCTGCCACTGGACCAGCAGAAACTCCCCGTCATGGTGAGTCGAGGAGGTCGAGAAGGGAGGCTGTCAGTGGGGGCCAGCACATTTGCCATGTGGCAGTGCAATGTGGGGAGAAGCTGCACAGGATCTGGCATTGCTACCTGCACTGAGATGGAGTTCCTGATTGGGAACTCCCATGATGTTATACTCGTCGTAGAGGACATTTCCCAGCCCCATCCAAGCGAATATTGCGCCCAAACTTCTTGCTTTACAGATGCACATGAACTACCATCCGGAGAAGACGGAGCGGATGAAGGCAGCACTGAAGTACTTTGTGGAAGGGGACAAGAAAGCGCTGGATGCGTTCCCGGATGGGTCCATGTGAGGGGGAACCCTTGTAGTGAGGCCGCCATAGAGATGGACCTACACTCCAAGTAGACACGCGGCTTGCGCTCCGCCCTCTCCCCAAGTCCATTCGTGCAATTATGAGTCCAGCACCATGGCCTTCTTGAGCAGTGCTGCCACGGTATCGCTGGGTTGCGCGCCCACCTCCAGCCACTTCTTGATAGACGGGGCGTTCAGGCTGGTCTCCTTGCTCAAAGGGTTGTACCATCCCAGGAACTGAGGGAAGGAGGGTGGAAGGAGGAGGAGCAATGTGTTTTGGGAGTGTAGGAGATATGTCACCGCCACCCACTCGGGGCAGCACTGGCAGGGGAGACAACCCGCCATCCACATCCCAAATAAGCATGGGCACAAGACATGAGGTGCTCGTGAGTATGAGGCAGCTTTCACCCACAACAACAAAATCAAACTCAGATGCTTACCTCCAGAGGCCGTCCATCACGCCGTGTACGGCTGTCAATAGCAATGATACGGTAGAACGGCAATTTCTTGCGCCCCATCCGAGTGAAACGGATCTGTGTGCAGGAGAAACAGGACCAATGACTGGCTAGTAAGAGGGATGAGGCACCCAACCTCTGAGAAATCATGCCCACGCATGGAGGTGCGGGCGCAGCCCATGTGCCATACCGCGACTCTGTTCTCGATGATCAATGGGGCTGCTGCAGCTCTAGCCAACCGCGGCGCGGCGACCTGCGAGGTAGGCCAGGCGTGGCACTGCTTCGCTGCTTATCGGCAGGCACTGACACCGCTCCTCCTTCCTGAGTCTCTATTCCCACCGGCCTCGCCTCACCGACTGCATTTGTACTTGGGACTGGCTGACGTTCGACCTGAAGGAGAGGCTCCGCATCCTCACGGAGGGCACCTGCTGTACCAGTCCGGCCATTGTCGCGCGACAGAGGTGGATTTCCTTGCCGTCGTAGGGACTCTACCGACGAATCTATATGTCGATGCTTCAATATTGGAGATGAAGGACCTCTGTGGGCCCCTGCGGTGTGGTACGTCGGTCCTCTCCCGCATTCGGGGTCTGTGTTATCCAGTTTCTTGGACAGCATGAAAGCACAGCATGGCGTCCTCCGCAAGCCACGCGTGGGTGTACCGGTGGTCCACTCAAAGCCATTGCTACTAATAGCTACGGTTCATTGCTCTTGTACACAACCAGCACTGCTGCTAGCTCAGCTTGCTATGAGGACACTAGGGGAGGCTGTCACTCTGCAAGCATACCACAGTGGCTCCCCAGGCCGCCAACTGCGCTGCAGTTGAACTGAACAATCACCAAGATGACCACACATGGTACTCATTTCACGTTGCTGTCAAACTTGCAAAATGGGAGATGGAAGCACCCAAGACTGCATGGAACACTTCAGTTTGTCAACTTCCTCATCCACATTCTCTACCCAGGCGAGTGCCAAGGCCGTTGCCTCCACCTCTGCTTCGGCGATCACCTCTGGACAGGGTAGCAGCGTGTCTGCCTCTGCCACGGCCACAGGTGCGCAATGGGTGATCTTTGCCCCTCTGTGTGGCTGTATTCTTGGATGATCACAGTGACGTGAGCCATGTTCCTGTGACCGGTGCTGCCCAGTCCCGACACTAACTCAACCACTCACTCCAAACCCCACGATGCCTTTCCCATTACAGCCACCGCCATCGCTGAGGCCGTCGCCACCGCCATGGCCTCAGCCGTCGCCCAGGCATCATGCTGCGGCGGCAGTAGCGCTGTGAAGGCTGCGGCGCAGTCCATCGCCACCGAGACCAAGAGCGCCATCGCCAAGGCGGTGTCTGACTCTTCCGCATCCGCCAGCAACGGTGGCACCAGCCAGGCCTCGGCTGTCTCGGAGGCTGTGGTGCGTGTGAAGGGTTGTGGGGGTTGGATTGCGGATGTTGTCTTTTGGGAAGCATATGAGGTCGGGGACTGCCAGATCATGAAGTGCTCAACTGGTGCATCTTGGACAGGAGGGGCCCTGTGATGGCGACACCACTGCTTGCACACAGTTACAGGCTGGCGTTTGGTCATCCACACTTTTCTTCCAACCTCTGCCCATAACCCCCCATCCACCCAGGCGTCCGTCACCGCCACTGCCCTGGCAAAGGCCCTGGCCACCGTCTCCGGCTGCACAGGTGCGCGTCATGTAGCATCGTGGTATGCACGGCACGGCCTGCGGTTGTTCTGCCGAGGGCTGACCTCCTTGTCTATTCACACACCCGGCTTTGGGCGATTTCTGAGCTGCAGCAACCTCTTCCCCACCCCCCGAACCACACACGTGCAGCGTCTGCGGACACCTCTGCCACCGCCACCGTGACCACCGGCTCCCAGGGCAGCACCCCCAGCTCGGGGGGGTCGGCCGGCAGCAACACCGGCGCGTCTGCCAGTGGCAACGGCGCCGCGTCCGCCAGCGGCATGGCCGGCGCATCCACGGGCTCCGCCTTTACCCCCATGCCCTCCGTCATCACCTTCCAGCCCTTCGCGTGCTTCGGCCCCGTCAGGGACAGCTGCTGCGTCAGCCCCTACCCCCAGACCTGCAACGACGGGCAGTACACCAAGGTGAGGCGCTGCCCTGGTGCATGGCCCTAGGAGCTACATGGCTTGCAGGCAGTGCTCCTGGGCATTGCATCAGGAACAGGGTGATCACCCTGGCCCACCGCTGGCACGGCCCTCTCCGCTGGTGAGACAGCGCGCTCACCTTTCCTCCCCCTCCCACTCCTCTCCTTCAGACCGCTTCAAGCCCGCCTACATACTCACAGCTGGCAAATGGTCAGGCCTGGGGCATTCCCTGCTACTGCTGACATGACAAACCCATGTACAGACCTCACCCGTGCCAAACCGAAACCGACAGGCTTCAACGTGCTTCCTGATCAGCGATGCGCACTCCATTCTATTATGTGCTGGCCTTGCAGGCGGTTGTGTAATCTTCCCCATCCTCAGTCTCCTGGGATATGGTGATGGATTGGGTCGGCGTTCATGTTGAGCGATGCATTACACGCTGCAATATGTCGCTTCCAAATGATGATGCATCCCAGACCACCTTTGTCAGCAGGAGTCAAACCTTGACATGCCAACGAACAACGCAAGAACTCATTACATTTCCAATGCGGGCCTACACCCTCGCGATCTGCCTGCTGGCGCTCGGCTGCCAGGCCGCAAGTGCTAGACGCAGCCTGCTGCAAGACAATCCGTTCCTGACACCCCAAGGAACCCCAGCACCAGTCTCCAGATCCTCACCGTCTGTGGAGCCCGTGACGGAGCCCGGCACGGCCATCGCGCCCGCGACGGACGGGGGCGACGCATGTGCCTGTACCACCGACGGCTTCCGCGGCAGCGTGAATACCTCCCGGATCGGATGTGGCCAGTGGGACATTGTGGCGGGATCTAACGCCTTTACATGTTACGTGGAGGTGCGAGAAGGGGTGATGTGGAAGGCATTGGTGTTTTGCAGTCATCGCCGCGTGGCGACAAACCACCGGAATGTCCGATCATGTCGGCAGACACATCGAGCACGCACCAGCGCACACGAACACGATCTGCGGGCATCTGTCCATGGCATGTGCCCAACCTTTCATGGCAAATCGAATCTCCTCAACCTCCACGCTCAGGACCCTGCTTCGTGCACGGCTGTGACGACATCGGAGTCTGCAAGCCTGCCAGGCGCGGCGTATCGAGCCTGCCCCGCAGATGAGGCGGTTCTCCCCACCATTGGCCTACTCCTCACCTCCAGTCCCCAGCTGACCAGCTACATTGCTGCGCTGCGCACAGCAGGCTTGGGTAACATCCCGGGGTCCAGCGTCACCGGTAGGCTTTCGGTGACGTGATGTTGGGATTGCTCCACGAAAGGGCTTACATACTCCGGAGAACGGAACCTGCTTATGTGCATGGGGTGATGGGCTCTCCCCCATGCAGCCCTCCAGACGTGTTGCCCTTCCTGAGGTTGTGGACAGCAAGAGATCCCACGCCGTTGGACTACCTCATCTCACCATGTTCACACCCC